CCCATTTCCAAAGACAGCATCAAATAAGTGAAATTTTTTGTCCGGATTATTGGTCTTCTGCTCTGACGTGGGGGATGGAGAAGCAATGGGATGAAAGGAAGTGTAATGAGCCATGGGTCACACGTGAATTGCCTCCCACTGGTGTGATGCTTTTTAAAGGGAGGGGGTTGCCCAAAGGCAGGAAGGGATGAGGGGAGGAGGGGTGCTGAGAAAGGTCTAGCTGTTGCCACCTGCGTTTACATTAAGACATTGTCACTTCACTACTGAAAACAAGTTTTCTCTCCTGACCTGCTGGGTAATTGTTACTTTTTGGAAAAGGTTGCCCTGTAACAATGGAGGCAGTCATTTACATATTTGTCTACGTTTAAATGTGTGCTTCTTTATTTAAAAAGGGCAGAATCTAAATTTCCTAGTAACTCAATGCACAAAACCCAACATTATAAAGCTTATTGGGATCTTTGTGATGGCTAAAAAGAAATAATGTCACTTTTTTTGTTTGTTTTTGTTCAACAGTTTCTTTTTTTTTTTCATTTCTGCCACTTCAGCTCGAAATGGAAAGGTCACGTCAACAGATTCAGAGGACAGATATACCAACGTATAGCTGGTCTGGCCAGTTTTCCATGGTGGCAGGATCTTGCAGTAGCCTCTCTAGCAAAATTCTCATGTTACTGGTGTCTCATTTCAACAGCTCAGGGCAGCTGGTGAAACTCGCCGTCCTTGAGTGTGTGCCCTTTCTTCTCTTTATTTGTGTTTATCCATCACTCTGGAGTCTTTTGCAATCTATCGCATGTCTTTCTGTCTAGTCCCTCTGCTAATTTCCCTGCATATTCAAATGTTTTTTTACATCTTCACAACCTTTCAATCTTGGTTTTCTCACCAGACCTTCACATTGCTAATGAGTTAACACAAATCCCAGAAGGGATTTCTGGAATTTCCTTTTTGTTATTCGCACACTAATTATGTGACTTTGGCATCTTTAAATATGTCATGCATTTATTACTGGTTTGAGTTTACTTTAATTTTGCAACATAATTTGTATGCTTTTTATCTTCTTATTTGAGACCAGGCCAAATTTAATCGGGGGTATTCCTTCTTAATTAAATGAATTTTCAGATTTATTTTAGCATCCAACCACTATTTTGAGCATAAGAATAAGAGCATGAGGTCTTTGAGTCTACCATGTCACGTTCTGTGTCCCTGTGGTCCCCACCCCCTCCAGGTTCCCTGATGTGTCCCCTAAGCTGCTGTGCCCCTTTTGGTCCCCAGCTTCTCCAGGTTTCCTTCTAGTCACTTCACTTATCATTAGTTTTCTGTTATTTTAGATTATCTAGTTCATATCTCACTTTAGTGTATTGTGTTCCTTCCCCATTTAAGTATGAGCCTCTCCTGCCTTCCAGTATAATTAGTTCTGTCACTCTGACATCATTAGTTTATTTATCTTTAGTCTTATTCCTACAGTGTTTAGGTTTATTTACGTTCAGTAGCTTTGTCTTACAGATTTTATGTCTGGTTTCCTCACCTGCCCTGTTCTGCTCCTCCTCTCAGTTATCAATCTCACCTGTGCCCAATTCCCTTAATCACCCAGCCCCTGTGTATAAAACCCTGTCTTGTCTCAGTGTTTGTCGGTCCATTGTCGTTGTCAGTGTTGTTCTGTTCCACCTCGTGAAACGCTAGGTTTTGCTCATCAAGGAGCTTTTGGTTTTGGCCAGTCGGGTTACTGATTTTAGGTTTGGCTTCCTGCCCCTTTGGAACTCACTCATCATCCAAAATAAAGGAATATTCATTTATGCGACTGCTCCTGCATCGAGTGATTCTGGTGTTCTGCATTTTGGGTCAATCTTCCTCTTCCTCAACGTGACATACTAAGGGCCTATGTTTGTAAAAATGGGAAGGCTATTTGCACGAGTAAATGCACGTGTGATTTTTTTCTTTAACTAATAAAATGAAAACCCTAGTTTAGTGTATATTATTCGTGTTTTCTTAAAAGTCATGAAGCTTTGGGCTGCCTCCACTTTTTTGTTTTTGCTCTTTTTCTTTAGACTTGCTTAGTCGCTGCTCAAGTGCAACACCCAGTGGTGCTCCAGTGTTATGTGTTTCCACGTTGAGTGCAAAACGTAGGTGTGAAATTGGCCACAAAAATCTAACAATCTCACACTCATCAATATTTATCTATCTTGTGTTAAAAAAATCAAACAACCTTTGTTGCCATTAAGGCATTACCGCTTTTTAAAATTGCAATTCAACCGAAAGAGCAATAACTGTTCTGTCAAGTGTTTTTTTCTTGTAATTAATGCGAGTAATTCAATTTGAGTTTTCTCACAAACATGTTTTTAGAGGTTTCAAGCAACACTTCTCAGACATTGCATCATTCACGTTATTGAAACAGAGCTGGAGCTACAAGATCACATGGCTTGTAGACAGGTATGGAATGAGTTCAACAGGCCAGAACATGGTGAGAACATTAAACAGAGACAGAAGAGAAGAGGGATATGGATCATGTGACACACGATACAGGATTCTTAGTTTGTTGACTGGACAGAAAACAAACAGCACTGCGTACAAAGCACATCTGCTAAAACAGCTGTTAACCAGGTGAAAGATGTAAAAAAAACGAGGTCACTGCACTGTTAGAGGGCCAGAGCTGAAACAAAATAAATGTATTAAAGTCTATAAGTACAAACTTACAGAATGTTTTATTATTTTCTAAGGTTCAAAACAAACAACAAAATTAAGTATTTCTAGACATACATGTACAAGAGATGTTTCTAAAGACACACCAAGCGTAATACTGCTGCCATGGTGTGTCAGGTGACACGGCGATGTTGCGATTTTGCAGCTTTCATGCCGCCAAGCTTGATAGTAATATTACAGTAATGTCTAACTTGAAGATTGAATGAAGCTTATGCCTGGGGCAACAGAAGGTGATCTCTGGCCGTCATCTACATTGAAAATGAAACTAAACACGGGCAAAAGTTTCTCTTTTGTAAACAGAATCAGCTTAGATGATAAACAGGAGTGATGCGGAGCTCCGGGAGCTTCTCTCCATTAAAGCAGACGCTCAGATCACCAGAATGTTCACAGAGACTGGAGGACAGACACCTTTAGGAGAGGCTTGTGGAAAAAAAAAACAAATGCAAGGAGCGTGACTTCAGTTGCAATAAAAAGCAAGTTATATCCAAGATGAAAGGAAGTCTGACAGCACATACACCACCCTCCACACCCCCCTTTAACCCCTTTGTGAAAAGGGCATGATTGGGCCACATTACACACATGTTCTGACCACTTATTAACAACCATAGGCTCCTTGATGCTGGCTCAGCTTTGCAGCTAATTAGCGGCATTGTTTGAAAGTTAAAGTCCCTTTAGTCATTGCACACTGGTAAAATTCTTTCTCTGCATTTGACTGATCCCTGGGGGAGTGGTGAGCTTCATACACAAACCCCTTTATGCTAGATTAGAACAATTTTCTCTATCATAGGTCTTGTGTTTTGGACCTCTACATTTATTATCTTACATCTGTTGATGGGAATTTCCACCCCTAAGTGAAATTTAGTCTGTTACCATTTTCCCCGGAGTTAGTTAAGTGGGAAAAAGCATTTTGTAACCATCCCAATCATTCTCTTAAACTGGTAGTCTTTCGTTAGCTTAAGCTTAGCCTCAACATTGTAAATGAATGGTAAAAACTCATCAAACCTTCTCCATAATGATCATAATTTTTCTTTGTGACCTCAATAATCATATCGGCTGCAAATGAAAATAATATATAACACAAAACAATAGAGCGGATTTAGACTTGGGACTATATTACAACAAAGCACCACTGTAAGCCGTCGTTGCAAGGTGCAAGAGAATGATGCAGCGGCTCCAAAATTCACTGTTTCCTGACATCAGGTTTACTGTAACATTTACAACATTTCACCCTTCAACATTTACTGAAGCGCCTCGTGATTTTTATCTTGAGAGGTGCTTTATAAAAGATCGTCTCCTTCTTGTACCCTAATGACAGTGACCAACGAGTTTTGGTGCCACTGCATCATGTCTTTGTGCCTTGTAGCAGCAACATACCGTGTTGCTTTGTCATAGTCTCAAGTCCATGTCGGCTCTAATACATATACGTTACTTAATATTTTTAGTTGCCAGAGGTGTGACCAAGTCACTGCTTTGCAAGTCACAAGTAAGTCAGAAGTCTTTCCAGTCAAGTCTCAAGTCAAGTCCAAGTCAAGGACAACCAAGTTCAAGTTGAGTCCAAAGCCAATGATGTGGAAGTCCAAGTCAAGTTCAAGTCCTTAACTTTGAATTTTCAAGTCATAATCAAGTCATATGTCCAACTTAAATTTAATGACAATGATAGTAAATAAATTCCAGAAATAAAACCTCTCAAAGTTTAATTTATTTACTCAAACAATCAGAAAGTTCCACTGAAACTGGTTATAAACGAAGTGCTACTGCATTTAGCAGCACAAGATCAAACCCAGAACGAAGAACGATTTATGAGTTTTGTCCATGTCGTGCCACTTTTGTGCTAAAATATAAAATATGCTCAAGTCATCATCAGGTCAACAGATGCAAGTCGATTCAAATTGCAAGTCATTGGCGCTCAAGTCTGCGTCAAGTCGTCTTTGTAGATTTTACCAAGTCAAGTCAGAAGTCATTAAAATAACGTCCTGAGTCTGACTTGAGTCCAAATCATGTGACTCGAGTCCACACCTCTGTTATTTGCAGTCAATGTGAAGACAATATTACGCTTACTGAAAGACAAGAAGAATGGTTCTTTACAAGAACTCAGCTCTTATCATTCACTTTAAAAACCCATTCAAAAGATTAGATTGGTTCATGAACTTCACAACTACAAAACGCTTTCCCCCACTCATCTAATTCTCGGAAATATGGCAACAGAATAAATTTCACTAAGGGGAGGAACATCCCTTTAAATAGAAAGTTGGGTTGAAGAATCTGGACCAGTTAACCATTTTTGTTCCTATAATTCTATTTCTCCTCAGACATGTCAATCTAAGGTCTTTGATCTTTCTGATGGAGTCTCCCAGTATGCATGGTTCCCCTGTGATGCTGATCCATCCGTTCTGAAATATGCTACTTTTTGGCTAAAGGTAAGAACAGTATTCATGACGAATAGCTTGAGTTACACCTGATAACAATGATACATTTTGGTGTGATGCCAAACTACTCTTCAGTAATTTTATGCTGATGAAACTATATATGGATAAATTCCTGAGTGTGGGGTGAGGTATTAAGCAATCAATGTTATGCCTCTGCACTCTTTCAGCTTATTTCCAAAGAAGCAACAATTTTTGGATGACTTTCTTTAAAATGTAACTTTTTTTTCTAATAAATAGGAACACAAAAAAATATATTTTTTTCTCCTTGTAGGCACACTTTGCCCGGCCCATGGTGGCGGCAGCAGCAATCATTCATCTGGCTGCTGATGGGACAGAGTTGGTTGAACAAAAACAGTGCAACATCACAGTTCAACTGGTGGACACCAAGGACGGTGTCCATAGTCTGGGTGAGAACTCTCACGTGCTTTCACACCGCAGCTCACAGCTCAGGCAGCTAACCTAAAAAATTAAAAACTCTCAGTGTGTCACTCACAGATTTCTTTTCACTTCTTCCTAATGTCCCAATTAGAGCGCTTTCTCAACATCCATGTGCTACTTTATTTAGTCATCACTGCGGTCATGTTTTCCTTTTTCCAGAGATGGATTAAAGTCTGCCTTTCCTTTTGCCTCACTGCATTTTGTTTTGTCTTTGGCTTTTTGGTTTCTAATATCTTCTCCACAGGTGAGTGGCGTCTGAGCTGCCGCACTAACCCTTTGGTGATCCCCGTGAGACATGACCTGTCAGTGGCCTTCTACCACACCAAGGCTGTCCTGGTCATGTTTACCTGCAAGTTTGTGGCCATCTCGGGCGTAGGCCTGCGATCCTTTCAGTCTTTTGACCCCATCACCATAAGTGGTTGCCAGAGTAATGAGATCTACAACCCCACCAGACAAAGGTGAGAATAAAGAATAATAAATAAATAAATAAATAAATACACTTATCATTACAGTGCTGCCAGATTTAGAAATACTTGCTTATAAAATGCTGCAGTTATATTTCTCAAACTATCCGACGTGGGTTATTTCTACTGACACACTGATGATAAAATGAGGTTTTGCAGCTGCTTGTGAGTTAAAGAAAGGGACTGTATTCAATAAAACAGCCTCGTACCTATAATTTGTTTGTTTCCTGTCAAACCAAATTCATTCTCATTCTTCTGAATCACACTACAGCTACGGACATTGTAATATTGGCAATTTTTGTTATTTATTGTAAAGTATAATGCAACTTAAATAATGTTTTTCTTTAATAGACAGATGATAGCCAAAGAAAGAAATGACAGCTTGAGTTGAATCTGTTAAAAACAATTATATGTATTTTTGCCTTTGCTTTTGACAACGAGACAAACTATGTAAAAAACGATCCTCAAGTTGTCTAATGTTATAACTATAAGTTAAAACAACTGAAAGAACAAGTACATTCTCATGCAAAATGCACGCTTTCAATCTGTGTGTTCTGCAAATTTCCAACAATAGTGTTGCTGTGCTGCTTCAAGCACTAAGTCTTGTTTACTGTGACAACTTGTGTTGAGTAGTTTGGCTAATGTTCACAAAACAGAAATGTTTTTCTTTTCTTTGAAAAGAAACAATCAAATGAACATGTTTCTCCTCTTTGTTCTTGGCCTGTCATTTTGTTGCCTATGATGTCTCGCGTATTGCCATACTTGCTATCTGGCCAGTTTTCTCTATGTTTTTTTTTTTTTTTTTACAGAAGAAAGCAAATCTGAGAGAAAATCTAAAATATAAAAAGCTGCTAATTAGGAAATACACGTTCGCTTAAAAGGTTTGGAGTGGCGGGTCTGGTTGATAGTTGACTCTAAGGTGGAGCAATGTGGTTTTGATCCTGGCCATGGAACTGTGGATCAGCTGGACGAAATGTGGAAGTTTGCCCAACCAGTCCATGCATGATTTGTGGATTTGGCACCCTATGGGCACCCCATGGGGGTTCGGGTTTAACTGGTCTGTGTAACTGGCAGTAAGTCAGACCTGTTTCTGGTGCGAGCTGAACACGGTCAGGGATGCCATTTATCACCGGTACTGTTCATAATTTTATGGACAGATTTTCTAGAAGCAGCTGTGGGGTGAAGAATGCCGAGTATGTTGGCAGGGGGATCTTGTCTGTTTTTTAATGATGTGGTCCTCTTAGTAAACACTTCCAAAGGAAGAGCATTTCCAACTCTGGGTCAGGGGCGAGGTACTTCCTCAAGTGAAGTATTTTTTTCATCTTTGTAACTTTTTCATGATTTAGGGAAGGATGGAACGGCAGCTGAGTAGATGAACAACTTCTGCAGTGATGCGTCAGCTAAAACTATCTGTGAAGAGCGAACTAAGCCAGAAAAGCAAAGATTTAAATTTCAGAATAGAATAGAAAAACCTTATTGTCTGACACCGAGCGGTTACAGAAATTTGTCTTTCAACAGGGTTCATCATCATTCACTCTTGCAGAGAACGCCAAAGCGCTTCACACATTTCCACATTTACCACCAAGTATGATCACGAGCTTTGGATGTTGGATGAAAAGACTGGTCAAACTAAGAGAAAGGGTCAGTGGTTTGTGCATGTAGTTGGTATGCTCCCTGAACACCTCCTAAAGCCGGGCGGACACTGTGCGACTTTTATACTCGTAGCATTCAGCTCCATCTCAACCTGTACGACCTCCTCGCAGAGCAAATCTCATGAGCCATGTTCTCACACTGTACGTCCCAGTTCTCAGTAGTGGTGTGCATCTCCACCTGCCTCACGATTCGATCCGATTCCGATTATCTGCTTAAAGATTCGATTTGAGTCTGAAATACATCACGATTCTTCACACAAAATTTTTCATTACTTAATAAAAGCAGTAGAATAGTTTTCAATTTCTTTTTTATTTCAAAATCCCTGAAAAACAGAACATACATCTATTCACTATAGTGAGCAACAATTTTTAAAGTGTGCTGCCTATAATTACTTAAATAATATAAGAAATAATGTTTTCGGTAGAGCTTTAAGATAGAATATTACTGAACTTAAAAATAGTAAACAAATACTGTGTTAAGTGATTCTTTCACATCCAGGATCCCAAAACCAAAATTAGCCCAGACATCCAATTTAAATGTAACGGGTACATCTTTGATTACTGGTAATGTTGGCCCTGTATCCTGTCCGCCTTTTCTGTTTTAAATTGGCGCTAGGGCAACGCAGTGCGCATGTCATTGCAACTCTGCCCCCAGAAGTAATTGTAAAACCTCAAAACTTTATTGTCCTCGCATAGACATAGGGAGAAAATCTCATTATGTCACGTTGCCGCATCGATGCAGAATCATGCATGGCTGAATCGCGATGCATCTTAGAATCGATCATTTTTCCCACCTCTAGTTCTCAGATGCGACATGACTGCTCACACTGCACGTCTGGTAGCAACACGTCAAACCCAAAATTACGCTAAAAATTGCTGTTTTTACACAACGTGTCTGACTTTTTATTGTGTTGTTATTGATGTCTGTTGTACCTCGGGATTGCTGGAGAAAGACGCTCAGGGATTTATAGGATTGGAGGAGGAAGACGAAAGAAACAAAGTAAATGTTTTATCAGTTTAATTTGATATAAACACAGCAAACACACTTTCTTGACAATCCTCACTGTTGTTTGTGAAAAAAAGTGTATGAATAAAAACGAATGGCGTGTTAGTAGGGAAATAACTGGCGAGCCGTGTTGATGGCTGTTTGCGCGTGAGCGGTTCTGGTACATTTTGCATCGCAGCCGGTCGCAGCGCCACTTCAACAGTGTGATACTTTCACGAGAGGCGAGCAAAATGTCAATCACGTGAAACACTCTGAGAATTCACGATTGCTGTTCAGGAACTGGTCATGAGGTGATAATCGCCTCTCGTACCCCAATGCACTACGCGAAACTCGCCCCTGATCTCGTAGATTCTCGCACGAGGGAAAAACTTTCTCAAAAAGGTAAAAAAAGTTGACGTGTCTGGCCTATTTTAGAGAGGTGTTTTGGTTTAGGACACAGTAAAGGGAATGCTACGGATCCTGGTGGAAGTGACTGCGGAGAGGATAGTCTAGGCTTCCATGTTGGAGCTACTGCCACTAAAGCCTGTTGTTGCAATGCTGGGAACTTTTGCTCCTTCATAAGATTGATTTGATACGTTTTCAGCCTACACTGTCAATGTGGTGCGAATGCATGCTTTTCAAGAAAGTTTACGATGGCGGTACAAAGGGAGTGTGGGGGTGATCTCCGTGCTGTCGACACGCCGTCACAGACATCATTTTAGCTTGGACATAATGTCTTTTTTATTCCGAAGGAAGCCGTGCTCCTTACGTATTTTTTCACAAGCCATTCCAAAAGTTGGATGTCCTTCACAGTCCCTGTGAATTCTCTGGCAATCAACCAGTAATGGCCAGAAGCTTCCGGATCTCTGCACCGCTTTTATTTGCCATCACAGCTGATTCCGTTTTCAAATGAAAAAGGGACGTCCCATGTTTATTTATTAGTCGACTTTAAATATTGTTGCCAGCTGTGGCTCAGCAGACATTCCGCACTTCTGGGATCTTCATTCAAATGTACAGAGTTGCGGTAATATTACTATCAAACTTGGCAGCACGAATGACATGCTATTCTTGCCTCGCCCTGCCACCACATTCAGCAATAGTACCCTGATAAGGCGCCACAGTGAGTGTTTTGGAAGCAGCTTGTGACTGAAGAGGAGTACCAACAAACTTCTTCCTGTTGTCACGTGCTTGTGACACATATCAAAGAGCACATACATAAAAAATGCTGCTGTATCTGCATCAGTGGGGACATTTTGCTACCACTCACTGTAGCTTTCTTTCAGCCTTCTTGCTGACTTCTTTCTTCCATAGTCTCCCCGTGTCATCTAATTTCCAGATGCCTTTGGACGACCATCGTGCTATGATGGCCAGTCAAATCAATGCTGTCTTTTCTTAAGTATGAATAATTTTCTAGGCTTGTGACCTGTTATTGTGTAGTGTCCTTACTTCAGTGCAGTGCTGAATCCAGGCTGAGTCCCTTTGTCTCTCTTCGGTATTGATTTGTTTTTATTTCTAAACTGCAATCCATCATCTAGCTTTTTTGTCCACTTTCCAAATTACTAGTCCCTTCCATTTCATTTGACTTCATCTTCACTTCTTTTTTCCACTTTTCCTGCTTAATTTCTCCTTTCCTCTCCACCCTATCTCTGCTCATCCTCTCATCCTTAACTTTTTTGTCTTAACTGCCGGCTCCTTTTAATGCTCCCCTCTTTTGTGCCTCTCATTCCCATTTTTTCCTATCATTCTCCTGAGCTTAACTGCATATTTCCCGTAACACTTCTGCCTCCACTAAACACCACTTCCTTTTTGACTGAGCTGTTAACAACAGGATCTATTAACATGACTCAGGTTTAACATGAGTCCACGCTTGTCCTTAAATCAAATGTGCACATATGTTTTCTCTTTTATCGCAACTTTGATTGCATTTTCTTAGCCTACTCAATTTTATGCTACAAAACTTTATTTATACACAAAATATATAAAAAAAACATCTTTTGTATTTTCTGACATACAATGCCTTGAAGCTGCATTTTTCTCATGCAGAATTTGTTTGTTTTTGCTTTCTTGGTCACAAATAAATGCTTCTGATCAGCGAACAAAGGTGTGTAAATACAAAAAGGCAAAGCGTCTTTTAAACCAGCTGGTCCTTATGTGAACTTTTGGTGGCACAACTTCAGTCAAGCACTTGTAATATTATTTTCTATGTATTTAGTCCTTCTAACAGCACAAATATCTTTCGTAGTAGATTTTATTAGTTAGGTAACTTTTTTCCTAGATTGTCTCAGTGAAATTCTGCCAATTCCAGCCACATTTTCTTCTTGGCTTGTCTTGTTTAGCATCAGTTTGCTTTTTCTTGCCATCATATTTTCATTAACGTTCGATTCCCAGTTCTGCGGCACTTTGTTTTAAACTTTTAATACACTGCCCCGTCATCCATCTATCCACCTCTCTCCTGCATGCTCTCCTGTATCAGGGCCCTCACCTTGCCACTAACCATGACACCATTCAATCCTCTCAATGTGTAATTCTTCATTCTCGTTTTCCAAAGGGGGGTGGGGGGGTGGGGTGGGGTGGGGGGGGGTGTGTTAGTTTTCCAGGTAGTTAATTGTAATTTATGTCGTGAATTCCAAAGTGACGAGCAGGAAACCACAAGGAGATTTTGTTCAAAGCCAGCATGACTACAGAGGAGGCATCCAAATTTGTCCTTTAAGAGTAGATGTAAGGAACTTCTGCTAATGGGATTATTGATGGTCTTCTTCATCTTCTTTTTGGGACAGGAAAAGAGCAGCGCAGGGGTAGAAATTGAAGAGTACGGTGAACACATCAGTGAAGAAAAATGATAAGATAATACGTGCATCAGAAAAAAAAGTTCCACTCTTGCAGCCAAAGGTTTAACAATGTTTCTCCAGGCTTTTTTTTTTCCTTAGACGTACCTCTTCTCCCTGTACCCCAATAACGCATCTCCCTGCTTCCTCTTTCTTTTCTCTTTGGCTTCAAAAGGGTCCCCTGTAGGTAGAATGTGGACTTTTTAAAAAGTGTGCATGGGCATCAAAACGTTCCACCAGCCTTCTCCGTTGGGCTTGTTAATACAGAACAATAGCCAAACTCTGTCATTGTAGCCTGCACATCATTTATCCTGTTGATCTTAATTCACACTCCATTTGTTGAGAAACACCCCTTTTTGTGTGCGTATGGTAGGCTGTTCTCCATGTGCATTATTGATTGGATATGTTAAACAGTCATTGATGGATGAGTGTGGTTCAGGTGGGGCATAATTTGTCTGTTTGTGAGCAAACGTGGGACTGTTTCCATATTAGGGTATGAGCAGTTCATTTCTTTCCTAAAATGTAAAATATCTTGGTTGTGATTAAAGATGTGGTGTGCTTTTCTCTTTCTCTTTTCTGTTTCTCCTACTGTTTTTTTTCTACCTGCTCCCACACACACAACCCCTTTTAGTTGTGTACATTATTCGTGCGAAGCCATTGACTGCCAGGAACCCTTAATCCGCAATGCAGAGCTAAAGTGCAGTAGCCCTGGCCGCCACTTCTACAATGGAGACCGTTGCACCATCTTCTGCAACTCTGGCTATGTCCTGCAAGTCCACCAGGATGATGACATCATCAAGACCCAGGTGAACACACAAACACACTGCTACACATATGCACTTGAAAGCAGTAAGAGCTCAGAACACAAAGAGGAACTCATAGTTGTGAACCTTTTGAGTGCACAAATTTACTTTTTCCTGGAACATATATGCATGAAAATATAAATTCATTATTGCAAAAATAAACATGAACCGATGCAAACGGAAACACACAAATGGCCACCAGGAAAAGGTGCAAACAAGCTTGCTTTCCAGCTCTGCTCTTCAGCGCTGCATTTTTTTTTTTTGTCACCTGTGAAAACTAGGCCTGGCAGGGCTGGTCTCCTGGGAAGATGACATCATAGAAATCCATGTAGATCAGTGCACCAATCTCCTCCATTTGCTAGCCTACTACTCCTTTGCATACACAATGCACAGACGTGCGTGCACACACACACTTTTTCTCTATAAGCAGAGAAGTGTATACTCTCTTACTGAGCGTACTGCACCATCATCTCCTACAGTCACTTTGTATTGCTGCTCCACTGGGACGATGACATCATAGCGTGGTGTCTGCTCCCTCTCCCTTGCAAGTATCTGTTAAAGGGCAGAGACTCACTGCCACACAGACGGCACACATTAAAGTAGTTGACGCAACATTGTTAACCTTTTGGATTGAAGCCTAGCTGCTGTTAAGGCCATTAAACAATTTATCCTTCTCTGTAGTTTTATAAAACAGAGCAAGAAAATCATCTAGTGCTCACTTAGAGAGAGAACAATCACCATTAATGCTAAAAGTCTGGCTTTGTGTGAATTGTTGTCTGTTGTTTTACAGTGATTAAATGAAGAGGCAGGGAAAAGCATGGCAAGAATCAAACAAAGGGAATGAATTTATTAAGATTTAGAATATTTGGCTTTTAAGAGTTAAATTTTGCTTTATAATAATGATAATTATAATAAACCTTTTTCGTATGGCGCCTTCAAACAAAATGCTGCACAGTGAGGAACAACTAAATGGAATAAATAAAGGGATTAACTCATTAACTGCTGTTTCCTGATCAGAAAAGCCCTTTGCTGCCAGCGTTTTTCAGTGTTTTTACTGTTTTTTTGAGAGTAACAGAACATTGCGCTCTATGATGATGTTAATGCCAAAACAAAGCGGAGACTCACTTCTTACATCAGGAAGAATCCACACGCTTCGAGTGTTATCCGTTCTTTCAAAATCCGTTGTTGAATTGTGATCGGCAGAAGCTTTTCCGGTTCGCGTCTCACCTTTTTTACAGCAGCGGCCCAAAATGATCTCCTAACACATAGACTTTCTGCTTCCTGATCATGTGACGTGTGACATATGCAGATGAAGATCGGCTTTAGAGCTGGAATGTTTGTTCTCACGGTGCAGGGGCTCGTTCCGACGCCCACACAGTAAAAAAATGTAAATGAACAGTTGGACTTAAAATGACAACTTTTGTTATCAATGGCAGTTAATGAGTTAAACGATGCGTAGCTTTAGTGTCTTAAGGTCTTGTTCAAGAACGAGGGAAAGATGGAGCGTGAGATCGATAGGCGGATTGCTGCTGCGTCTGCAGTGATGTGGGTGTTGTTCTGGTCAATCATGGTGAAGAGAGAGCTGATCCAGAAGGTAAAGCTCTCAATTTACCAGCCAATCTGCATTCCTACCCTCACCTATGGTTGCAAACTTTTGGTAGTGACCGAAAGAGTGAGAACACGGATACCAGTGGCCGAAATCTCCGCAGGGTGGCTGAGCTCTCCCTTAAAAATAGGGTGAGAAGCTCTGTCATGCAGGAGGGGCTTGGAGTAGACCTGCTGCTCCTCCACTTTGAGAGTAGCAAGTTTAGGTGGCTTTGGCCTTTAGTTAGGACGCCTCCCTGGTGAGGTTTTACGGGCACGTCCAACCAGGAGGATACCCAAGGGAAGACCCAGGACACGCTGGAGGCACTATATTTCTTGGCTGGCCAGGGAACACCTTGGGATTGCCCTGGAAGAGCTGGCCCAGCATAGGGTAAAATAATCATAAGGATTATATAAAAGTAATTAAAAACAATAACCCAAAATAGAGAATAAAATGACTAACAGTCACTAAATCACATAAAATAATCACTAGAGAACAGCAAGGCTGCAAGCTCTAACAATGATAACTAATCTGAGTAGGATGCTGTAAAGAGGTGAGTTTTCAGTTTGGCTTTGAAAACCTCAACCAAGCATCAGGAGGAAGCTTGTTCCAAAAAGAAGTGCATGATGAGCAAAAGCCCACCTGCCAATTGTCTTACAATTGATTTTTGGAACAGCCGTATGCGAGCATGTTGGTCTGCTTAGGACTTGAGAATGGTTTCAGGAGTTCGGTGACATACAGAGGAACTAGATAATTTAGTGCCTTATAGGTCAGCAGTAAGACCTTAAAATCTACACAGGCAGAGCATGGAAGCCAGTGGAGTGATTTAAGAACAGGTGCAATGTGATCCCATTTCCTCTTTCCTGCAAGAATTCATGCAGCAGCATTCTGCTTTTCAGTGGCAGATCTGATAGAATGACTTTGCAGTAGTCTTAATGGGATGTAACCAAGCCCCCATAATCCGGGTCTGGATATGAAGCAAAACAGGGAGTGACAAAAACTGCAGTTCCACCCTCATCCGCTAGGGACTGGTGTCAGAAGTGAGCAAATCCTCATTGACTCCCATGTTAAAAATACCAATTTCACAGCGGAAGTAAACATGTTTACAGCCTGGTTCCAAAACATGTTTTAGGTTTAATAGATCTAGTTTACACTCATGATAACTCGGGGGGGGGGGGGGGGGGGGGGGTTGGGGGGGTTTGGTCACTTTTCTGTTTAAGTGTGTTAAATGCCTAAAATTCTAAATAATTAATTAGCATCAGACCCACGTGACTCAACACATTCTTACTCCCAGTGCGTCAAAAACAGATGCTTTGTCAGCCACCCTCCGCCTCAGACCCCTGACGCCAAAAGTGCCCTTTTTCGTTACTTATGTGCGAAAAGGGGTTTTCCCCTTTTCTGACTGCAGATCCCAATGCAGCGTAAAACTGACACGATGGGATATCCGCAGCCAGGGCACCAAACAAGCTCATTGTACCTCACCCTAACCTTATCCTCTTGTTATTTAACCTTCCCCTCACCCCTATCCTAACCTTAACTATCTTGCTAGCTAACATGTTAGTGATGTGTCGGTCGCTCTAAAAGCCGGCTCTATGAAGTGAACGGAGGGAGCCGCCTCGTCATTGGTTGGGTTTGGACCGAGGCAACGCGAGGGGGATACCACGGTGGAGGTTAAAAGTAGAGGGTATTTGTAACCTCCCCCACGCCAGATGGTATGTTCTAACGTTCCCCTTGGGTGGCAAATACGAAAATTTACAGTCAGAATGCATGGGACACAAACGCTTGATCACAGTGAGAGTAACGTTTTAGGTAGCAAGAGGGTTAGGATGAGGGTGAGGAGAAGGTTATAAATAGCAAAACGTTAAGGTTTAGGTGCAGTTAAATGAGCTGGTTCGGTGCTGCATCAGCGGACATCAGGGCTGGACTGGGACAAAAATTCAGCTCGGGCATTTTGACTGGAGACCGGCCCATGTTTTTTTTGGAAAAGACATTAAGCCTTACGCTGTTTCTGACACACACCAACGTACACTTTCTTATTGGTAGTATTTATGTATCAATCTAATAAACGTAAACCTACACCATCCTTCCTATCCTGGTATTCTAAAAAGTAGGGTTGGGGGTAACTGATTATTTTTAAAATGATTATTCTGACGATTATTTTATTGAATAGTCGACTATTCTAATGACTATTTAGATGATTAATCTAGTGATTACTTTTCTATTGCACAATTAATAAAAACCAAAAAATTCTCAAATAAATTCCTCCAAAAAATTGATTAGTTGTTACTGTAAGAGAATAAACACTACAGGCCTTCCATTTTGTATAACACTGCTTTTATTGTGTTGCGGTTGGTTATGTTCTGGTGACGTATAGAACTTGGGAGTGCAGGCTGCTGCCTGAGAGGTGGTTGGAGACGGAGTGTCTCCATGCTGCTTTGTTTTGTTCACTTATGTGCATGAGGCAAGTGGTGTTACGACCCTTCCTGGGGAGTCACGTGTTTCTTCTATTTTAACTGTAAATCCTTCTTGCTGTTATATTTATAACAAGAAACAGATATTCGGACAGAATATTTTCATGTTTATTCGAATATGATTGTGGAACACACCCAGCATCATAATAAATGAAGTAATATTTATGCCAATTTAAGCCTTTATGGGTGACCAGGACTCTGTGATCAATTTTTGGCAAGGGAAATTATCATTTGTTGCCATTTTTAGGTGTTTATGAATGTGGAAGACACCCAGCATCCTGTGATGGCACTAATAACATCAAGAGATAATAAATAAGGTAATATTTAGGTCAATTTAACCCTTTACACGTGACCAGGACACTGTAATCAATTTTTGGCAAGGGAAATTATCTTCTTTTTTTTTCTTTTTTTGCCATTTTTGGGGTGTTTTTGATGATACAGTAGGCAGTATGAGTACAGTAACATCAACAGATAATACATAAAACCCTTATTTGGTCAATTTTAGCCTCCATGAAAATCTTAGCGATTCAATCACTTTTTGGCAAGTAAAATGCCATTTTAGTTGTCTACAATTAAATCATCAATAAAGAATTTAAAGATATTTTGAGGCATTTCTTATAGGTAAACGGGAGGGTGGAGTCTATTTGGCAAGTGACAATCTTAATTTTATGTGCTGAAGTGCTTTTATCTTGTTACTTTTAAATAGAGCAACGTAGTGTATAGATAGCAACCTACACAGTGTCATTAAAGCCAAAGCTTGATCATTTTAAATACTTTTTTTCAAGTAAAAATGTGCCCCAAACTAGTTAACTGTGGCTCCATGTCAAGTGGACTAAAGAAAGGAAGGGGGAAAAATTAAATCGCTGGAGAATTGTTTATTTCCATTTATACAACGTTTACATTCAATACAGGGTGCCATTTTACATTGTTTATTTATTTTTTTTTAG